ATTAGATATTGACAATGTGACAAATGAGGCCGGAAAAGTAAAAGGGCGGCCGGTAAAGTGACAGGGCGCAGGAAAAGTAGGCAGATAACGTATTACTGCCATTGTCATGGAAACTAAAACCTGACAAAGTAGGTATGAAAATTAAGGTTTCATAATGATTTGGGATAACAGTTGTTTGTACAACTAGAGAAGAAAGTGGAGTTTTTCAACTCGAGTTTGGTTTTGCGAGAAATTCAAACTGTCCTCAGTTATCTTGGATCACTCGGTATAATGTTACAGTTCTTAGCTCAACATACAGATAATTATCGTAGCGTGTAAAGCGCTGAGTATACGTGTTTTGAATTGCGGAGGTTTTGGAAAACAACAAAGATTGGTTGAAAAAAGAGCTTTAACCGATGGGAATTAATCAATGGAAATGTTCGTTGCTAAGTTTATGGACCTTCATTTGCTTATTTAAATAATAATTGGAGCATGATATTTTAAACAGTTTCGAGAAGCCTACTTTTTTCCTACATGTATAGAAAAATTCATACCCAAAACAGTTTCTTGAAGCTTGGAAATTATGCGCAATTTTAAATTTGACTTTAAAAGCCGAAATGTTAAAATTTGGGACATGGAAGCAGCACAAGTGGAAACTGTGAAAATTAGAATTTCATGATACAAAAACAACATTTTCGGTCGCGATTCAGAAAATGTCAACCACGAAGTTTGTGAGACCTTGGCAAGTTTAAATTTGGATCATGAAACAGAAATGTTGTAAGGAAATTTGAAACTAGAAATTGGAATTTTAAAAATCCCCCGTGTTTCCAATGTTGGAGAAGAATTCTCTCGAATAGCTTTCCAATTTCGGGTAGTAAAGTTATCGAAGTCTGTACGAGTTAAGGGATTGGTGAGATCCTTCTTACCGGATTTTAGAATATTTTTAATTTGGTCAGTTTTACAACTGACAGGAAAGTAGGCGAGTCCTATACAGGAACTAAATAGTTCGACGAGAACGTCAGAAAGGTTCTCCAGCAACGTCATTAGTACGTTTCCATGAATTTTGTCCAGTTCAGGACCTTTGTCCTTGGCGCTTGTGCAACTAGTGACCACCCAGTTTGTATGGATTTCAGTTGGATTGTCGAGGGAACGCATTTCGGCGTGGAGAAGTTCGTGTTCAGTCGGATCGTCCTCAAAAAAGAGGACATATAAAATATCGTTCGCTGTTCACGAACTTTCCCTCACAAAAAAAATGTCTGTATTTATCAGTGCCAAAAGGAAAAATCCCCCATTTAAGTCCGCGCTTCGTTTCTGAATTACTGCTTTAGTCGACTTCTTGTCTTGAGCTACTTTTGACTAGAAAATACTATTGGCATGAAGTGAAGTAGGGAAAATGCTCCTTCCCCCATGAAAACTTGAAGGTGTTCAAGCGCCAAAGGAAATTGGTTCTAACGAGAGTTCCGAATAGCCCCTGAATAATAATGGTTCTGAGAGTTTCACTAATAAATTCACCGCATAATAAGAAAACCTACAGAAGATTTCTATTTTTGGCACTGAGGAATACAAACAAACTTTCTTATGGGAAGCTTTATCTCTTCTTTTTTTTGTATTTATTAGCGACTATTTCCGTCGATCTATTAAGAAAGTTAATTGACGAACGAGTTAATAAATAGCATTCGTTGACGAGATAATTGTTGATTGTTTTTAAGAAACTTTGGCCTTTATTTTAACAAGATGATAACAATTATTAGTAATTTTTTTTTAATTATGCGCCTTTTATTTATATGAAAATGTCAAAATTTGTGGATGAAAGTTTTTTAATTGCAACAATTGTTGAACAAAGAATGAAGAAAGCAAGGGTTTTTGTGCTCATTGAATTATTATGATATTTCGTTTTGCTATTATGTTTATTTTACAGCATGGATTACGCAAATATTGGAAGTATTGGCACTTTAGAAAAGCTACCGCCCTTGAACGCACTAGGGATCAATGAAATTAAAATCTGCTTTAGGTACAAAATTAACGGGACTTATTTGTTTGGTAAATCGAATTGCGGATCTCGTTTCATCGCCTTGATGACCGAACTAATTCTAATTTATTTAGAACTCGCCAATGTAATTTGACCTCTCTAATCGCTGCCGTAAGATGACACTTGCAAGTGTTTTACCATATTACCCAAAGCAAAGATTAAATAAACAAAAAATCGACACAAATTATAACAATAAAACGAAAAGTCGAAGTCATGTGGATCGTTTTCTCAATTTTTCCAAAAATTTTTTGTGAATTTAATAGGTTATCTAAGTAAAGTAAGCCGAGGCACATAATTGATGGTTTTATTTAATTTTATTGGTCGAAGATGTGGGTAAAGGAATTATGGCGTCTATTTGAGAATTATTTAGCAGATGTTTGATAAGGGGACTTGTTCAAAGCAAAATTTAATTGATTTAGACGATGGCGCATGTGCAAAGTTGTAGATAAGGAAGTGCGATGTAAATAAATGCTCACATTTCGTTGGCCCTTACTGAAGATGAAAGATTGTGATGGAGATGGTCGGGACTTGACAAGGAAGGCGAGGCGGTCTTGGTTTATTTGACTTAGCGTATGTGACAGTCCGTTGCGTGTAAATTCAAAGACGCATTTTTCCGGTAGTCAGTCAGTGTTTCGAAGTCTTGTTTGTCAGTTAGATTAAGAAGTGGTACAAGAACAGTTTCCGATTGCTGTCCAAATTTAGTGTCTACGCAATTAGTTTCAAGTTATATAAGAGGAATTGATTTTTCAATTTTAAAGTTGTGTCTTTGTTAAAATTAAAGCTTGTACCCGAGCTGCCAATTGAACACTGTCAATAGTTATTGAACCAGTGTTGATGATTTATCAAAAGGGTTGTGCTTTTATTTTAATTCTGTGAGAAGTGTTTGTCTTCGTCATTTATCGCGGGCGGGTTCAGACAAAAGTTTAGATGATTACAATAAAGTCTAAGTCTTTGAGACTTGTTCTTTTTATTCGACCATTTGTAACGGGGTAAAATGCTAAGCATATGGCATATCATAAAAAGAAAAGTGTTAACGAAATAATCCTCTGAAAATAACTTTACCTCGTAAATTTAATACCTAAATACGCTTAGATAAATAGTTTAAATATAATTTTAACTTGATGGCTCAACATCTTTCGTATTACGCGTAATTCAAAATTTCAAAAATGTTTACTGCTTAGTAATAGAATCTTATTGAAATCAATTGATCTAAAAATCCGCCCCCCTCTGAACCCCTACCTAATTCGATACAGAATGTTTGTAACGATTTCTTAAGACATGTCTTTAATAATTAATTCTATACTTAACTTGTTTTTTATGATTCTCAATGGAATATGATTCAAATACGTAAGAGCTAGATTAAATTACAGAAAATAATTCGTCGTGTCCTTCCTTTGCGATTTTAACTCTCACAAAAATGCCATTAAGGTTCACGGTCGCTCCCCATCTCCCTCAAGCATTCTGGATAAAAACCGTTCAACCAATGAACTGAAAGAATACCAAGTTTCTGTCTGAAATGATTCTGTATACAGTGATCGAGCCTATTTGAAATTTTTGAATTGGAGGCAGATCTACAATTAATTTAATTTCGTAAAAATTACAGCATAAAGTATCAGTTAAGATTTACGGCAAATCTGTAGGATAATAAAACTGAGAAACTCCATCGTATTTTTTATGGCAAGCTTACATGTAAACAGAATACTTTCGAGTGTACATCCCGAAATGTAATCAGATTTCGAAAATCCTATTAAAATATACCCAGGGAAATTTCCTCTACGCGCGAGTATCCAAAATACTTCATTCGTGTGCGTACATAAAATGTTTTACGGCTTGGATTTTGGCGATCTCTGTTGGGAGGCGAGAAGAATTCTAAGTTTTTGTTTCTGATAAATTTAAACGAAACAAAAAATGAATTAATACGGAAATGTGGATGAACTAAATAATGCAAGAGATTGCCAAGCCAAGAAAGGTATAAGGGTATACGGTTGTTTTGCTGTTCAAAGGATGTAATTCCAGCTTTTTGTCTTCACAATCATACGCTCCTTTCCATGACAAAACAAGGGCCCTATAAGGACGTACTAATTTGATTTAATTGGCAAGGGAAACATCGATATACAATTGTAGTCGCGCGTATTAGGTAAGTAATTAGAGAAGCCTTGTTTGGCATTGTTCGCGTCAGTGATGGGAAAATTGTGCAGAAATTGTGAAAAAAATTCACGCATTTGTAATGGAAGGGCTAACAATCACACTTTGTAAGGGGTTAGCGAATCGATTGTGTAGGTAGCTTGATATTGTTTTGAGACAAACAATTTTAATCAAGCTGCTTATTTCTAATTATCCACCTGGAGCATTTTTATATGACAACGAAGACAATGATATTCGTAAAATATAGCAAACCGAAAACGTACCAAACGTAATCTACGATAATTAATCAAACGGCTTTTATTAAATCCATACCGATAAGCTTTTTTCCAGGCTATTCTGTTTATTTAGCATTAATGGAATAAAAATTCGTTTTTCTGCATAAAAACGCGCCGGTTACGACCAATAAGAGTAAAGGCAATGAACTGCGCGCCATCAATCAAATACCTACCTACATAAACTTTCTGATGCAATTTATGCCGCGAATATTAAATATAGCAACCCCCCTTTCGCGAAAATAGAATGACGTTTCAGAATTCGCAAAAGTCGCTTCTTTTTTTAACATTCCGTTTTAACAACAACCGCTCCGAAGTTTCATTCCAATTTAGATTGAGATTAAAATTTTAATTACTTGAAAACTTGTCGTTCCAAAGATAAGTTATCTAGTAAAATGAACTCGTTTATTCTAAAGGCGAATAATCCCAATTTTTCCCAATAATGAAGATCCTAAAATTAGGCGTGCGACAAACGCAAAGTGAAAAATTAAGATGCACCTGCTCGTCTAATTTTAAACTACGGCAAGTCAATTTGAATTAAGCTATTTAGGTAATTAGAGTCACATTTAACTTACCGTTTAATTCTGAGTTTTAAGATGATACCAAGTGGTAAACAGAAATCACGGAATACAGAATCAAGTACTGTTGCAGCTCTCGGACCGGAGCACAGAAAGCGTCTATTGATCACTGCATAGGCGAGAACAGCGGGCGGGGATCCAGGATATGTCGCTGCCGCCGCCACCGCCGCCGCCGCGTCCCTCAGAGTGCGCACAGACTGTACCGATGGGGTTCCAGGGGCTACCCAGAAGGATCCTGTTCATTTCACAATGCAATAAACATCTGCATGTTGGGTTATATTAGCACATGTGCTTACAGGAAGAGCACGCCACCAACCCCCTTCGGATCTGACCCCCTGCGCGTTGACAAATTCCCGTTTCCAACCCAATTTAATTTTACTCTTTGAATGTTATCACCTGAGGTCAAAAATTTGTTATCTTTAGCGTTTCTGAGTCACTCGTTGATTCATGCATGCGGCTTTCGTAATATTAAATTATTATCAAATCAGGAAATCCAGAAAGCGAATTCATTTTGCCATATAAAATTAGGCGTAAAATAAAATTGGTTTTAAGAAGCAGTAAAAGGAGGAAACCAATTACGTATTACATACTTAATTAGAATTATTTGAGAATTTTACGAGTAATTTTATGGACAAATGAATTTTATACCCTGATACCGTTTTTGTGGCCGCTCTGATCGTGTACATTAAATGCACGTAAATAAATTGGGAAACGTTTTCAGTGAAATTACCAACAATAATGAGTCCATTAGATAGGTGGCCCTATTCTCGCGTTCATTTTGTACAAGCAATCCATTGTATTCATTTTGAAAATAAAGCCATGGTTTCAACAGTGTCAAAAAGATATTTAGGTATTAGCGAATGTTGACCTATACTGAAGTCGCAAGAACAGTTTACGGGCGATTTAAGGGTAGGTATTACTTCACTAATGCAAACAACTGTACAGGCTATTTTTTCCATAAAAAGTATTGATGCCCATAAAATGTTGAAATGTACTTACGTCAAAATACGAGGAATATGTTTTTATTTTAAATACTTTTTAATGGAAACTGTTGGGTAAACCTTAGAATCCATGCATATACTTTGTGGACCACCATAATATATGTCATTTTATAAAGCACCTTCTATAACTCGTAATTTTGATATGAGGAAATTGTAAAATCACATCAATAAAACTATAATAAAAAGGAAAACGATTAATTAAAAATACTGTAATACTTAGTATTTGGCTAGTAATGCAAACGGCGCCTAAATGCTTTAATAAATGTTCGGATTTTAAAACAGGGAACAGTCGTATCTTTCCTCAAGAAATAGATCAATTTTCTAAATTTCGCATCACTTTGCATCTGGGGCTTGTTACAAGTTGTTGATGGACTGTGTCATAAAAATTATAAATATCAAATGAATGATGCGTCAACTAGCTCAATCGGTTCGTTCTTTACTTTATCTTTTTTTACAATAATGCTTCGCTAGACGGGTCTCCCTTTTAGCTGAAATGATTACGCGAAAAAGGGGTTCTTTCAAACTGCACTGTCCAATGATAACAGAAATGGTCATCTTTCGATATATTGATAAAAATAGACACGGAAAACATTGATATCCTTAGTAATGGTAATTTCTTATGGATCTCCCATTTAAAGTTTAATGATAATATTAATAGGTAAGGCCAACTTTTTAAACAATGCGAGACAAAATCTGGTTTCAAGTTGAGATGTCCATATCCCTTCAAATACCCTGTATATTTCGTCATCGGATACAATCATTCAAGTAGCTGGAGATTCTGGGGACGTCACCATCTATTTATATATTTTGTACCAGCGAGTTAACGGGATTTGTAACATTCACTTGGTGTATGGTGTTGGTGGAACCGGAACGGAACAAATTGCATTTATAAGCCCCTTTGAGATACAAAGTCCATTAATTTCTACCAACTTAACCTTAATATACTAAACAATATGAAATATTTAAGAGTGACTAATACCAAAACTGAATTAAAGCAATAGTTGAAACTAATGCTGAAGAAAAAGAATGTAGAAAAAGGCAGAGGTGCAACGAACGCGTAAGGTAAAAATAAACTTCAATTAAACCTAAAAAATATGTTTATGCGAAAGAATAATATACTTTAATTCTGTGCATTATTTATTTTCTATAATTGATAATAATTAAAATTTTTTAATAATCAGTTTATGTTGGGCCCCTTAAAAACCGAAAAAAAACCGGAACCGTAAATTACAGAATCCACAGAAGTCAGAACCGGAACCCTTAAAAAATAATTCTACCTAAATAGTGCGGAACCGTAACCTATTTTTCATATGGGCTCAACACTGGATAACCACACCGGCGATTAAAACTAACGCAATAACAAACGAAGATGTACAGGGTGGTGACTTGCGTAACGCATCATAGGGATTTCCATGTAAAATTCATAACATGCGATTATTGGCTCCCCAAATTATTTTAGAGCAAAAATGTATTAAGGTTTTTTGTAGAAAAAAATTTTTTACGTCAATCAACCGTATTAGTTTTCAATTTTTTGCATAATAAAGACGGAAAATTGGAAAAATAAAACCCCCATCTTTTTCAATAATCTGTGATGCCATGGAATTTTGTAATACAAAACTACGCCAATATCCTTCATGCCATGGAATGTCTGCTATAAAACAATTCAAACTCGATCAAAAAGTATTATATTATACATCAACCAATTCAACATAAATAAAGACCAAATTACTAAAAACGGTTTCCTAATATAACAATTTACAATAAATGTTCGAATAAGTCACCATTAACTGCAAGACAGTAACCAAGTCGATCCATTTCGAACTGCTGCTAAGTGCTAATTGATAATTGGATATCTTTTTGTTTTATAAAATTCCATGGCATCGCAGATTATTGAAAAAGATGCGGGTTTTATTTTTCCAATTTTCCGTCTTTATTATGCAAAAAATTGAAAACCAATACGGTTGATTGACGTAAAAAATTTTTTTCTACAAAAAACCTTAATACATTTTTGCTCTAAAATCATTTGGGGAGCCAATAATCGCATGTTATGAATTTTACATTGAAATCCCTATGATGCGTCACGCAAGTCACCACTCTGTATACGTAAACACTATGTAGGTCAGTCGTCAGTCACCATTAACACTTTGAATAAAACTAATGCAAAGTGAAAACGTGACGCGAGGGGGCACCGACTTGCCCAATGAATGTCTTGGATGGAATAGAAACGCGTTCGCGTTAGAAGGCTTTTCTTCGCTTCGCTCGTTGGAGTTGCCTCGATTACGTGTAGATTTGGGCAACACTACTACAAAAGCGAAAAGCGGGGCATATTTATTTTAGAAGGCGGGATTGTGTTTGCCCTTACGGAACCGCCCCGGGTTGGCCGCCTATTAGTACTAGGCCAAAAATTTCTCTTATCCAAATGATGATAAAGCCGTCGATTTAGGTTTACAAAAATAAAACAGTTGCATAACGAACCTTATGTGGGCAACTTCTCCCTGGATGTGGAGACCTGGAGTTGTTGCAGCTAGTGGAGTTGGCGGAAGGTATCAGATATTTATTTGATGCATTCTTAAAAAAACTCTACGGTATGAGAAAATCCAACTGCGTCAAAGACAAAGAGGAAAACCTACTTTGGAGCGAAGATGGTAACGACCATGACATGTACCACCCGCGGAATTTTTCGATCTATACGTTCACAGTAATGATAAGGACATTTCCAATCAAGTCGTGGATGTAACCGCTACTCGAAGAGATCCTGGTCGGCCTAAGACCATCCGATCTGGTTTTTTACTTCACTTTCACTTTACCGGAACGGGTAGTCCAAAAAAAAGACCCTATACGCCCTCGGCTACGCCCCAATTCGTCTCGTATATCCAGTTAAATCCCTATAAATCATTCCTGAAACTAATACAATATATTCTATGCAAAAATGCTTGCTTCAAATTGCAGACAGTTTAAATTGAGCGCTTTAACTCTTTAATGTTTTTTACTTAAGTAATTTGGAAACATGTTTAGCAGGTAGCTTATTTATGCATTAGTGATTAAATTGATCCACCACTGCTTTTACATAAATGACATTTGGTATATTACCAACTTTATAAATGTTTAGTTTTACAGGAAATTCAAACTGTTCGCACCACTTTTCGATCACTCGGTATAACCGTATGGTATATTACACGGAACTGAGCGGCACGGTGACGGGTAATTATTTTTTCTAACCTATTGCTGGCACCATCAAGTGAAATGACCAATCACTGGTAGGTGTGCACTATTGTAATGATATAAAGGAACACCCTGTGTGTATATTAGTTAATCGTATGTAGGCTGTAGGCCAAACGAAGAGGTAGTCTTAAATTACTAATAAACGTTTATTGAGAGAAATTGATCTTGGTACTTAGATCCCTTGAAATGGCGATCCTGATTTAGGCACAATCGTAATATCTCAATTAGAAGTCTTAAATTTAGTAGATCGCCCTTTGCAGCCTAGTACTTGAATTTCTGAGTCAGGTAATGGTATTTTACTGACGAATTTTGTACTAAATTTTACCCGAAATCGTATTTTGATATAAAATTCCAATTTTTATATAGAACTTTTGATTACTGTCAATCTGTCAGTGATGACATCAGTCATTATAGACATTTAGCAATGTTACAGATGCGGCCCGTAAAGTGACAAGCGGCAGAAAACATAGTCTGCTCTGCCTCTGTTAAAATTGCCTAACAGAAACTAGGCATGAAAATGAATATTTCAGGACGACTTTGGGTAAGGGTATTTTTTCTGAATCTACTTCAGAAACAAGTACTTTCGTCTCTAAAAAGGGCGAAAAAAATGTGATCTGCCTCTTTAGTGAGGAAAGTAAAAAAACAATTGCTGCGTTAAGATTGCTATGTGTGAACTTCATTATTGCACACGATAATTTTTCCATTTTTATTGTAGTTTCAGGAAAAATTATGTGTAAAACTTGAGAAGAAAATGTTTTTCAACTCGGGTTCAATTCGAGTTGAAAAACTCCACTTTCTTCTCCAGTTGTACAAATAACTATTACCTGATGATACGAAATTTCAAACGGTTAAAGACTTTTGAGGCTATTAGTCCAGGAAATGAAGGGTTTACGCTGGCAATTTTTTGAAATCAATCGATAAACTT